TTTCCACGGTTGCATGGTGCATTTAAAATGCACTTGTTGCTGTCGTCAACCCAGCCGTACTGCACAACATCATGGGTATCATACCACGTTTCATCCAGGTAAATCAGATTTCTTTTCTGCTCTCTATAGATTTTAACTTTGTGCAAACATTCTTGGCGCAATTCAACGATTCGAGACGACTCCATAATCACCATTCTTTTATCTATTTTTTTGTATTGAAAACCACACAGTTTTACAATACAGTGCAGTGAGTCTAAGCATTTGTAATTATAAAAATCTTCAGGATAATCTTTTAATTTATCCCGTATCATTTCCAACGTGGGCACCAAATTTTCTTTATAAAATCCGTATATTATACGACGAATATCTTCCTGAAAACCTACGTCTATTCCTTTTAATTTTTGCGCTATGCGCTTTCTGTGGAAGGAGTGGGTGACTACATCTCCCCTTTTTCTAACCCGATAAATGGTAGACCGACTGATTTTTGTCAGGATACAAGTTCTGTTTAAAATTTGATTTTGCGAGGAATCTGGATTTTCGTTTTTCAGAGAATCATACATATTTAGGATTACTCTTTGGGTCTGTTCCTCTAAATCTTTATGAAAGAATTCTTCCTGCACAGGTTCATCAACCATCTCCTCGTAGCTTGGAGCATTTTCCCAAGGTCTCCAAAGAGCCATATTTAGGACACACAAGAACAATCAACACAACAATTAAATCAACAAGTAAACTGAGTATTCAAAAGTCAAAAACACACAAACTAATAAAATCTATGAAAAAACACGGACAGACTAAAGAAAACACGTTTATCCACCGCTACACGGCACTGGCTAAACTGTTTCAATTTTCAGTAGCCACCTGCACTTGTTCGGAGCTCTGAAATACACGCTTACTCATTGGCTATGTCCACGCATAGGCGTGCTTTACTCCACGTGGACCGGTGAAACTGCCTTTGATCTTATTTGCTGCGAAATTTGGCGATTTTTGCAGCAACAGAGCGTGTTAAATATAGATATATAAAACGCGCCCGGTATTTCACAGTGTTTCAAGTGACTTCAGATAAAGTATACCTAATTCTAGAATTATTAATTCATAGCCATATCCCGACCACCACTACTACAGATACAGCGGAACCGGCCTCATAGTTGGTCCGAATATTGTCATAACAATTCCCGAGGCTTTAAAGTACCAAGAAGACAATTTACAGAAGAGACTGGTCACTGACAGATATTACATATCCAGCGGTTCCGATGCTTGGTTGCGAAGGGAAGCTATACAGGTACAGTAGACACATTTAAAAAATCCCAGTCCCTGCAACAACCCAAAATGTTCTCTCCGGTACTGTTTTTTCACCTACCCAATAATGCGGTAGAGGATTTCTAACGTTGCAGAAAAATAACAAGTATACCTTAATGTAACATTGTAACGCTTCCTTTCCGCAAAAAGTCCAGAAAAGATGGAATGCAATGAAGATTCCAACTTTTCTGCACAATCACAGAAAGGGGGTTACCACTAGCTTCCGGTAGCTCAGTCGGTGGCATGAAGACATCTACAGGCGTGTAGCTGTGTGTCGACCATGGCATGGCTAGAGGATAGAAGAATAAACAGAACACAAAAATTTAACAGATTTTATTTAACAAAAAAAAGCATTTCCATTACATTACAATTTTAAAGTTTTAAAGAACAAAATAAGTTTTAAATCTTTGGCGCTGCTATAAAACTATCAACTTAACTTTCGCTGGTCCATTTTGACTCGACTGAAGCGAGGATGGCCAGGTGCTTGAAGTGGAGGTCCCAGTTATGAGGGGTGACCTCACATATAGTGGCTTCATAACCAGTTGTAGGCGAAGTTGAACTTAAAGGCGATGGCGCTGCCAAGGCACATGCATGGGTGAAGTGATAGGCCAAGCAACGCAAAGTCAAAGACTAAGGCAAAAGCAAAGTCAAAGACAAAGGGAAAGGGAAAGAGAAAGGGGGTGGCCCCAATCATTTTGTCCTATACGGACACACATTCTACAAAATTCTAGCACATGGTGCTATATGACCTTGCGCTACAGAGAAGAAAATTCTTAGCTCTTGTTCGATCGACGGCTCAAGTGAAAAGGAAGCGCGAGGAAGATCACAGATCAGGAACTCCGCATCAAGCGCTCCAAGCGGAAATTTTTCCAAGTAAAAAAAGCTAGAGATGGGATTAATGAAATGATAATCGAGAAGTGATTTAATAAATACGATCGGACTGTGAAACCGTTACAACATGTATGGAAATCACGTTACTCGATTAAAAGAATCGACAATAGTCGATTGAGTTTTTCACGATAATCGATCGAATAGAGAATCGAAAAATATGACTGTTTTTTGACAGTTTATTGATGAGCGTGCGCCTGTCACTGACTTTTTTTTCAGCAAAACAAAAGGAGAAAATAGGTCAGATTCGAAACTAGTTTTGATTTAATTATACTAAGTGACATATAAATCCGAACACCCAGATTAAATGGTTTTATTTTAATAAAAGTTGGTGAATGTATTTATCTTACTGTAAATAACAATTGAAAAAATGTTTAGCCCTATCAGTTGGACATTCCGGTTTTTATACTGCTTTTTTTTAATTCACTAACGCTCTAAAAATGAATATTTCAGCCGCAGTAAAGAATCAACGTTGGCGGATTTTGGTTCTTGACATCCTTTACGATCGGTTACGATGCCTAGAATACGGAGACCTGTACGATTTCGTCAACTTAGTGAGTTTGATAGGGACCGTATAGTGGGACTTCGGGAAGCTGGACTTTCTTTTCGGGCAATTGCAGTTAGAGCGCAAAGAAGTGTAGACACTGTGGTTAGGTGTTGTCAGGCATGGCTTCGAGAAGGCCGTACGAAAAGAGCAAGGGGCACTGGACGCCGCCGTAGAACAACTGACCGTGAAGATCGCCGCCTAAGATTATTGGCCTTAAGGGACCGTTTTTCCACTACCAGGTCCATTGGAAATGAATGGTTTGCAGAACACGGAAGACCTATTGGCATGCGAAGTGTTTACCGACGAATGAGAAGTTTTGGCTTGTTTTCATACCGGCCACACTGGGTCCTCCCTTTAACCCGAGAACACCGACGTAATCGCCTTGAGTGGTGCAGACAACGGTCACTCTGGGATCAGGAATGGAACAGTATTGTCTTCAGTGACGAGTCTCGATTTTGTTTAGGCATGCACGATGGTCGTGCCAGGGTTAGAAGGCGACGTGGTGAAAGGAGGAATCCACAGTTTTTTGTTGAAAGACATGTTCATCACACTGTTGGAGTTATGGTTTGGGGTGCTATAGCTTATGGTTCCAGGTCACCTTTAATCTTCATCAAAGGTAACATGAACGCGCAGCGTTATATCCACGAAGTTCTAGAACCCCATCTTTTACCCTATCTTGACACCCTGGCAGATCCAACTTTCCAATAAGATAATGCCCGACCACATGTTGCAAGAGTCACAATAGACTTCTTTCAACATAATGATGTCACACTGTTACCATGGCCACCAAGATCTCCCGACTTATCCCCAATTGAGCACGTGTGGGACATGATGGGTAGGAGATTGCTCAATTTGCAACGTCCTCCTCAGACTCTAAAAGCACTTCGAGAGGAGTTGGTGGTTGCCTGGAATGAGATACCACAGGAGGACATTGTCCACCTGATCAGAAGCATGCCTAGGCGCGTTGGAGAATGCGTAGCACATCAGGGTGCATCCACACATTATTAAAGGTCAAAGGGCTTTAAATTTAAAGCAGTGCAATCATTTTGAAATTTTTATCATTTACTTATTATGCTTCATTAAGTACTTATACAAAGTTTTATTAAAATAAAACCATTTAAACTGGGTGTTCGGATTTATACGTCACTTAGTATATTATCCAGTATACAGGGTGTTCCAAATTCGACCCTCACCATTGGAGAACTGTAAGAGATACGAAGGCAAAGCTACGTATTTAGGTATTCAACAAAACGCCAATTATAATGTATCGAAAATCAAGGCACTTCTGGAGGGAGACGGAAAAAAACAAATTTTCCCAAAATCGTTTCCTAACTGTATTTTAGTGAAATTTTCAAATAGATTGCACATCAAAATTGACTCTTTTTCTCCTCAATAATAATAATTACAATTCCAAAATGGCGTTTCTTTCATCTCTTGTCCACCAGCATCAACTTTATGGACGCCATATCCGATTTTTGCACGCGTATGTAAATGCGACTACGAATCTGAAGATGTCGATTAACTTTTGAATCAACAGTGTTTATCTTATGTATAAATGTTTCCGATATCCTTACGTTTTTAACTTTAGCGCGTTGTAACCTTTTTGAATATTGCTAGAATACTCTATATACAGGGTGACTTCGAAGTTGAGTCATTTATTTTAACAGTGAGTAGATCTGATCAAAAGACATGTTTGTTTCCTTTACCATTTTTCTGGTAAAATTAAAGTAACAAAGTTATAGCTCTTTGGAAGTTTGAGTACCGCCCTGTCTCAATAATAATATTATGTGCTCGTGTTTGGCGACAACGGATACAATCCGCCTTATCGGTTCATCGCATCGGAAACAAAAAAGCGAAAGAATTTGGAACGATGTTTTTACAATTATTTGTATACAGTCAGTGTCAGTCGGTAACGCGTGAGTGAATAGTGGTGTCTGTTGCGTGGCTCAAACGAAATCAAAAATGGCACATGTTTACGAAAATGCTGAACTTGTGGACATGCGGCATCACGGATTTATGCGGATCGGTTTCCCAATCGAGTGCAACCAACCCCTCGTGCCTTTGTTAATGTAGTACAAAGGGCTCGTGAATCAGGTGACTTAAATACTTGTCGGGATGATACTTTATAAAACAAGGTAACATTTTTTTTTATTTTTTTTTATTTTTACACACATATTTTGGTTTATCTTCCTTCTACAATCATTATCTGAAAATTAATGACTCAACTTCAAAGTCACCCTGTATATTATCTATTCGTTCATGCGACCCCACAGAAAATCGAGCATATGGCAACAATAAGCGACCATGGAAAATATCACAGCTTTTCTCTGGTGGTGATGAAAGTACCTGGAAAATTTCCCCGACATATAACCTCACTGAAGAATGGACTGACGGCTGTACGTGCACTCAAAAATTCAAGCTACCAGGTGCAAGGCTGGCCGAACAGTGTGGACCGTACCACTGCAACGTTTGAGAAATACCAGTGAGTTTATAACAACTGACCAATCTCTTCTTTGCCGTCGCACATACGGGTCCAATGTAGTAATCACTCGTGATCAACTTCCAAAGTTCTAAAAGTTACACTAAGTCGTTTCTACAACTGCAGGTCGCCTTTATGGTCTAATTGATTTTCATAGTCTTTCCTCTCCTTCAGAAAGGCTGGAGTATTTCTAGATTTCTACTGTTCCGTGTCAGCTTCGGCGTTCTCCTATTGTGAGGTTATGTTTTCTTTTTGAGTTATAGGAAATTTTACACTGATATATTAGAATGATATAAATCAAAAGCATGAACAATTTGATGCAAACGTATATTTGTAACCTAACCTCAAAATAGAGCGCTGACACGGAAGAGTAGAAAACAATGAAAATTGTTGTAGAACGTGCAGTAATGGCAATAAATTAATAGTATACATAATTTATTAATATTGTAATCCACATAAACAGCATAAAAGTAAATCTTTTCAACATCTAATAATTCAATTCAATAATTATTCAAATACATTTATTACATTCAGCAAAAATAATTATATAAATAAAATAAAAAAAGTATTGTTTCCTTACATGTTAAGTTAATTTTTCAGAATTATTCTTCCGGATCAAAATTAATTATTCATAACTGTAAATTTTTAGTGGCAAATGATATAAAAAGTATAAATATAAATATAAAAAAACTAAATAAGTAGACATTATAATAGGTTATAAAGGCTAAAAGGCAGTACTTGTGTCAAAAAAAGAAGTATGGTTTGAAAGCTTTTTTAATTTGACAAATTGATTTACTATTTTTATTCTTAGGAAATGTAATTACAGCAGACGCTCGATAACGTAAACATGGGATAATGAAAACTTACGCTAATGTAAACACAAACTTCGTTCTATAGGATCAAACGGAACGTGCGATAACGTAAACAATGTGTACGCTCGATAACGTAAACAACTCTCGGCGCACGGAAACAGCGCGACGGTAAAATGGTGAAGCCTCGATGATTTATGTCGGGCGTCGGGGAGTCCCAGATTTATGACGTAGAGTGTAGGGGATTCACCTCTGCGATAAAATACGACAAACTCGGTCAGTCGTATGATCGTTTAGGATACGTTTATACGTACGTATGTATTTCATTTTTGAACTTAAGTCAATACATTGCACGCATTAATATATTTTACGACTATGCCATCCACATCCTATAAAAGAAAGTGTTTAAAGTTGAGTGAGAAAGTGAAAATCATAGACGAAGTTGCACTAGGTGCGGGAGTGACACAGTTAGCAAAAAAATATGGAGTATCGAAAGCAACAATCTGTAAAATTAAGCGTATGAAAACTCAAATTTTACAAAGAACGTGCAATACATTTGGAGGTCCGGGAAAAAGAAAAACTTTAAAAAATGCGAATGCACCTAAAATGGAAAATTCCCTGTATAAGTGGTTTTTAAAACAACGGGAAAATCATGTCTGAGTTAGTGGCGAAGTACTTAAACAGAGAGCGAGACTGTTAAATGAAAAAGTGAAAGAAACTGAAAATTTCGTAGCTAGTGATGGCTGGATACAACGATTCAAAACAAGATATGGAATTCGACTACTGTCTATATCTGGTGAAAAATTATCAGCACAACCACAATTAGTGCAACCATTCAAAGAAAAATTGATGAAAACAATTACCGACCTAGATTTAAGAATGGAACAAATTTACAACGCAGATGAAAGTGGCCTTTATTGGAAACTGTTACCAGAGAAAACCTATGCTGCATCATTTGGAAAATCTGCCCCGGGAAGAAAGCCGGAGAAACAACGAATAACGTTTCTAGCCTGCACTAATGCTAATGGTTCACACAAAATAAAGCCACTGGTAATTGGGAAAGCAAAAAATCGGCGCTCATTTAAAAATGTTAAAATCCCTGTTGATTATGACTGTTCAAAAACCGCTTGGATGACTAGCAGTATATTCCTGAAATGGTTCCACAGGTGCTTTGTCCCTCAGGTATGACAATCAATTATCACAAATGCTCTATTCATAATTTGAAGATGTGTTTCCAATTTGTAGGTAAAAAGTTTCCTAAAACAACAGAAGCTTCCAATAAAAGCGTTGTTACTATTGGATAATGCACCAAGTCATCCTCCCGAGCAACAACTGAGGAGCAGGGATGGGTCAATTTTCGTCATGTACATGCCGCCCAACGTAACACCGTTAATTCAACCGATGGACCAGAATATAATAAGACTCACCAAACTATACTATTTAGAAAGTTTCTACTTTCGTCTGTCTTATCAAAGAATCCTGAAAACTTATCTGAGGCTTTAAAAAAAGTAACATTACGAGAAGTTGTTTTAGACTTACATATGGCCTGGAATGAACTTAACCAGCAAACTATTAAAAAATGTTGGAACAATCTCTTTTGTACCAATAATGAAGATGATGAAGAAGACGATGTCCCCTTAAGCGTAATTAGAGATCGTTTGCGATCCAATAATGATAATGTTATTAGTGTGTCATTGGATGTTGTTGATTTATTGAAAACAGTGAATCCCAACATTGTTTGTACTCCTGCTGATATTAATTCATGGAACGAAGATAAGCAGACGAATGATGCTGATAAGGAGGAGGATATGGACAGTGAGGATGATGAGAACGATCCCATTAAGTCAGAAGTGTAGTGACTGACGCGCAAGCTATACAAGTTTTTAACCAAGCTTTAGATTGGGCTGAAAGAAAAGAAGTTTCATACACGGATATTTTAGTTCTTCGTAAATTACGGGCGCAGGCATTGGAAGACAATGCTAAGCGCAAATTTACGCAGACAAAAATTGTTAATTATTTTTCTTCTAATTAAAAAAATACTTATCGCTGTTAGAATATTTGTTTATTTTGTTATAAATAGTATGTATTAAACGTTTCTTTTAATAAATCGAATATTATATAAATCACGTTCGCTAATGTAAACATTTCGATAATGTGAACCACACTTGGATTAAATTAGTTTACATTATCGTGGGTCTGCTGTAATTTGAAACAATTGACATAGTAAAAAATATGTTACGAATATGTTGTAATTGCAATCATAAAAGAAATGTATTGGCATCGAGATTTAAAAAAGGCAGTAAACGAACTTTAATGCCTTTTACATAGGTATGACAGCATAAATATCTAATCGAAATAAGATAGATAAAGCGCCATCTATCACACCAGAATCAACCACCGCATAGCTGCTACTTGTTGTAATTTTTAGGTATCTCAGTTCACGTCTAACAGTCCAGTCATCACGTGACTGTTCAATCGATTCTGGTGTCATAGATGGCGCGTTGCGCTGTCTTATTTCGGTAGACCGTACCTGGATAGACGATAGTTACAATGCTTTCGTTTGTTGTCCAGGAACGAGAGCTTACGAGGAGCGTCTGATAAGTACTTAGCCTACAAAAGAAAAACTGAAAGCCTACAAAAGAAAAACACAGCCTCCTTTTGTTCCCACTTCTTTAACCCTACGGTTTCAACTGTAGATTTACAGTGTTTCAAAATTTTCTAGTTATCAGTTGAGGCCTTCAAATCTGCAATCTACCAAAATTACCGAAGAATTTCGCACAAGTTTAACGAAAGCAAATCGACTATACCTGGTTTTATTGCTGACCTACCCTTAAGAAAATCTACTCTGAATCAAATTCTTTTTGAAGCGGTTCTGCTCCTGGTTGACCTTAAATGACATGAAAATGACAAAATTCAAGGTCAACCACGATCAGAACGGCTGCGAAAAGAACTTGATTCAAGTTAAGTCAAAAGTGTGCTATTTGTAAGCAATATACTATTTTTTCACGGGTATATATCGCGGAACAATGTCAAAAAATGACACCTGATCATGCATGCAAAAAGCAAATTCTTTTTGAGCGGTTGTAGTTCTGGTTGGCCTTGAGTGAATTTGGAAAAATTTGAATGGAGATTCTGTCATTTTTATGAGACTCAATTTGAACCAGAATCACAACCGGTCAAAAAGAATTTACTTAAGCAATACAAAACTGTCACTTTTTGACCTTGGTCTGCACTAGGTACTCGTAAGCGGAAGGCTGTCGATTTACGGTTTTAAATATACCTACAGCTATCTACAGATTTTTTTTTCAAGCTCATATACAGTTTTTGTCTCGGATGGGGTTGGCAACGCTGACTATCCGCGATAGTGGCGTCGTCGTGCGATGAGATTAAATACTTATCTGACCACGCTCGTATAAACATCTCATATTAAAATCTGTTTTTATTATTCAGATCGGTATTTCCGTTCTCGGCAAGGAACTGCCTGCACATGAACGGAGGTGTTATGTTCGATGGATCTAACAACTTAGCAGGATTTCAGAGATTGGCTTGTGGCGAGAAGAAAACATATTACAATGACTATTACACGCCTGTCGTTAACTTCGCAAACAGTTTAGTTAAAGCCTATCCAGATATCAAATTGGAAGTTGGTTCAGAAATATTCCTAGCAGATAAGCCGGCAACTGCAAAAGAATTAAGGCGATAAAGCGAGAAATAACGTGCTTAACATGTATGACAAAAATAGGTTTGTCAATGAACAATATGGGCAGTGGAAGAAAAATCAGATGACGGTTAACCCATCAAAATGAATATGGTATTTAATGTCGCCCATCCTTTTTCCTCCAGCAGTCTGTTTGAAAGAGTATGATAATTTTCGTCTCATGGTTTTATGGTGAATATGGAGATGACTGGAAAATAATGTTTTCAATGTTTTTCGGTCATTTTCACTGCAAAGAATTTTTGGAGAAAAATAAAGATAAGAAGCAATTACTTGCTCAAATATATTTATTCAGGGTGACTTCGAATTTGAGTCATTTATTTTAACAGTGAGTAGACCTGATCAAAAGAAATGTTTTTTTCCTTTACCATTTTTCTGGTAAAATTAAAGCAACAAAGTTATAGCCCTTTGGAAGTTTGAGTACCGCCCTGTCTCAATAATAATATTATGTGCTCGTGTTTGGCAACAACGGATATAATCCGCCTTATCGGTTCATCGCATCGGAAACAAAAAAGCGAAAGAATTTGGAACGATGTTTTTACAATTATTTTATTCAGTTATATACAGTCAGTGTCAGTCGGTAACGCGTGAGTGAATAGTGGTGTCTGTTGCGTGGCTCAAACGAAATCAAAAATGGCACATGTTTACGAAAATGCTGAACTTGTGGACATGATTCTTATTTACGCGGCATCACGGATTTATGCGGATCGGTTTCCCAATCGAGTGCAACCAACCCCTCGTGCCTTTGTTAATGTGTACAACGGGCTCGTGAATCAGGTGACTTAAGACCTCACAGGGCTCGGCATGCCGGTGCTCCAAGACCTCACGATCAAATACAGAATACTTGTCGGGAGGATACTTTATAAAACAAAGTAAATTTTTTTTTTATTTTTTTTTATTTTTACACACATATTTTGGTTTATCTTCCTTCTACAATCATTATCTGAAAATTAATGACTCAACTTCAAAGTCACCCTGTATAAATGTGAATGTCTGTCCAGTCTGTCAGCATAAACCACCATATAAACAGACGTAAAAATGTTTACACTTACTAATACCCGAGGAAGGTTGTAATCATGGTTTTATCCGCGAAAATATACAGGGTGTTCAAAAATTGTGGCTAGATCAAAATATCTGAAAAAATACATTTCCTAGAGAAAAATGTCATAGAACCAAGTTTTAAGGTTTGAAAAGATTCATCTAATGGTGATTTTAAGCGTAACCTTGATTATAACCTTCAAAGTCATTTGAAGATCAAGACAGATTTCTGTAATGGAACACCGGAAATGTATAGAGCGGAAAGTTTTACGTTGAAATACGTTTCTGTTAATGACCTTCACTATGACCTTCATGGGTATGTGAGGACGTTCAAGAGTTTCTGGAAAGGACAAAGTATCTCAAAAAATTCATTTTATAAAGAAATATGGTGTGTAGTAAAGTTGTAAGGCTAAAATGATTCTTCCAATGGTGACCTTGAACGCAACCTTGACTCATTTGAAGCTCAAGACAGTTTTCTTGAATGAACTTCTGACACCGGAAATGTGTAGATCGGGAAATTTCACGTTAAAGTATTTCTTTGTCTATGACCTTGACCCATGGCCTATATGGTTATTTGAGGTCGCCCAGAACTTCGGGGAAAGGACAAAATGTCTCGAAAAATATATTTCTGCTGTAAAATAAAGTTGTAAGGTTTGAAAAGATTCATCTAATTGTGATTTTAAGCGTAACCTTGATTATAACCTTCAAGGTCATTTGAAGATCAAGACAGATTTCTGTAATGCAACACCGGAAATGTATAGAGCGAAAAGTTTTACGCTGAAATACGTTTCTGTTCATGACCTTCACTATGACCTTCATGGATATGTGAGGCCGTTCAGGACTTTCTGGAAAGGACAAAGTATCTCAAAAAATACATTTTATAAAGGAATATGGTGTGTAATAAAGTTGTAAGGCTCAAAATGATTCTTCCAATGGTGACCTTGAACTCAACCTTGACTCATTTGAAGGTCAAGACAGTTTTCTTGAATGAACTTCTGACACCGGAAATGTGTAGATCGGGAAATTTCACGTTTAAGTATTTCTTTGTCTATGACCTTAACCCATGGCCTTTATGGTTATTTGAGGTCGCCCAGAACTTCCTGAAAAGGATCAAATGTCTCGAAAAATATATTTCTGCTGTGAAATAAAGTTGTAAGGTTTAAAAAGATTCATCTAGTTGGGACCTTAAACGTGACCTTGACTCATCTGAAGGTCAAGACAGTTTTTTTAAATGAAAATCCCTATTTTTGACACCGGAAATCAAAAGAGCAAGAAGCGTTATATCCATGACCGTGACTATGACCGTCAAGGTCGTTTGAGGATCAAATGACATTTTAACGGGAAAAATTTCCATTTAATTCCAGAAGTGCAAAGTGCGGACAATGTTAAGTTCAGGTACCGATATCCTTGCCAATGAAATTAATCATGCACTTCAAGGTCCATTCAAGATCAAATAAATTTTCAAGTAAACGCCTCGCCAAAGTAATTATTGCGTTTCTTTGAATATTTCATTTCTTATTGCTACTTATTATTACTTGTTAACAAGCTACGATTATGGATAAATCCATAAAACCTCATTTTTTCCACAAAATCATTGATAATACTGTTTTTCAGTCATCAGATGAAAAGTTTTAAAAATACTCCTTCGAATAGACTGTTGGAAAAAGGGTCAAACATTGAAAGTTTGGCTTTATCTTCGTTTTTTTAAAAATGGTGAAAGAACCTTGCATTTGTGGTGGAGTCGCTAAGTATGATCACATTAGATTTGACCTGTGCACGTTTTAGTGCTCCTGTTTTTGTTCAGAACAGTTCTACTACATTTGTTGTCATTAGCATAGGTTAGAGTGTTTGGTGTATAATTTAACTATGGTTTTGTATGCAAACTTGTTACAATCAATGGTACCAAATAGTATTATAATAAATGTTTCATAAATTGATTGAATGTTGTTTAATCATAATAAGGGGGTGGTTACGGGCTATGGCAGCTTTACATATTGCTGCTCACAAGTCGCATAAGGGAAAAGAAGAAGGCATAATCTAGAAAAACTATATTTATTGGAATAGGTATGCGCATCCCTAGACGCCCAAGTCTGTCATTTCACAAATGATGATGGACAATGAATAAATTTATCCAAAAAGGATTATCTATGTGGCGACACAGTATTTATCTTTGACCAAAAGAACCGCACGTGTTTAGTCGTCGACGTCATCAACTGTTTTTGTAAACGACATGTTTTGGACTGCATCTCTCTTGTCTCTCTTTATTTGCCTAGTCTGTCTTCTTTTGCTATAACTACTCTTTGCCTTTAGACCCCGAGGCGAAGTGTGTCCTTACTTTTTGTCCTAGGCTTTTTCTTTTAATTTGGACCAGGGAGACCAATTGGACGGCTTTTTGCAGAAAGGAACCAACCCACTAAATACGAAAAATCTATATTTTAGTTAAATAAACTATTACGAGCAATACCATTTACTGTAAAAAAGATCCGAATACATATTTGAAGTCTTTAGTATGCCATTAATTAAAATCGTGTTTGGTCTGTAATTAATTTATTATCATTTTTAAAAAGTTTAAACCCTAATTGCTCAATAATTGTTTTTGATATCCAATCAACCAATATTCTTTATTTTTTTTCATTGCCGCTTATAATGCCAATTTGCATTGGTCTGCATACACATTTTACCAACCTAGAGCTTGGGTTGGTGGCTCACTCCTAAAGCCAAAAAAAACACCGATTTTTAACATTAAGATATGGTTCACACCACAGCGCAAAGCATATACACTGATTCACACTATAATGTAAACCGTTAAATATCGCTACAAGAAAAATTGGAGCGCCATCTATAAGTAGAAACCCTAACATCAGAAAGTGCTAAAGTGAATTGAGGTTAGGTGTTGACACTCATACAAAACCTTGAAGTTTTCTGTATACATGTCTGATATCGCTACTGCTACTTTTCAAAATGAGTATCTTTCTCACAGCAAAATTTTTCATGAGAGTCTTGTATTGTAATCCCATTACCAATTTGTCGTTTTGCACTTCTTGTGAGTACTGTTATACACATTTATCGAATCATGATTGTGAATACCGGCGCCATCTGTTATGGGAATACCCAACCGTTTCAATTCACCTTGAACCTTCACCTGTCACTTCTGTTTGTGTCAGATCAGTGTCACGAGTGTCACTGTCACTTTCTTGCTACTCCGTGTTGTTTTCCTTCATTCCTGTTAAAAAAAATAAAAATCTGACAACTAAACAGTGTTTATGTGCCAAAAATGTACGTGAAAAACCATCTGTGAAATAAACAGCAACTGTTCGCAGCAAAAAAACACTCCAGCGATGAGCGGCAAGCGAGCACCCGGCCCGAATGAGGCAATGGAAAAGATAATCGGCAACATGACTGCCGAAATGCAGAACGTCGATGGCCAGTATGTGCCTTTGGGCTTTACTGCTTCTCCACCAACGACTTCCGAGTCTATGAACTGGACACCACAACCAAACTATCTCAACCCTTATGCGATCCATAATAATGAATCTGTAGGTATGGATCAGTACCCACCACAAACATTCAGCTTCTTACCTCAAGTTCCACCGTTGTACGAGCCCAGCAACTTCAAGAAGACCCCCGAGTATGAGGTATACAATTCCGTGCAAAACGGAGCATCAGATATGGGTTTTGTTGATTATAGGTTGCTGATGCCACAACAGCAAATGGTAGACAATATTCAAGAGCATCCTATTCAGCAACAGTCAACAAGTAACAGCCCCAACCATGCACATCTCATTGAGCATCTAGTTGGCAACTGGATGGTGCCCAATAACAGTGGCACCTATTCCCCTTTTGGCCATCCAGAAATGTACAAACCAAATGTGTTTGAAACACCATGTGAAAGAGAATCACCTAATCTTGTGCATCAGAGTGAGGAGCACAAATTCAGGAATGACCAAACTCTAGATGGAATCCAGTTCAATAGAGACACTAGGAAACCAAGAATGGTTGCTGAGGTGAAACCAATGCGCCCGAGTTACTCTGATGTTCTAACCAAGCCGGTTCCACAAACAACATCAGTAAAACCGGTGAAAAATGAATCTAAGGAACCTAAGCCAAAAAAAGAGAACAAGAAGAGTGCTAAAGCAGAAAAAGATAAAAAATCAAGTGGCCTTTTGAATAGAAGCAATACTAATAATGAGATTAAAGACATACCATCCGAGAAAAACACTTTACATAGCAAGATTGATAGAAGCAAGGCTGTCAAAAGTAGTCAACTCAACAGAAAATGGGCTTCTCTAGATAATATCGCTGATACTCCACCTAAAGTAGATGATACTAAGAAGAAACAGAAAGACGATCAACCTGCTCCTAAACTTACCAGCAAATCAAGTTCTAAAAAGGCAAATAAGACAGTGAACGGTATCACTGATCATGAAGTGGATACTGTGAAGATTGAAAGTTTCAATATAACGAAGAACGGCTTGAAGAAAGCTAATAAATCTAATAATAAACAAAAATCGAATGACTCCTTTGGGACTAATGAAAGACCTCCTGGTAAGAGAGGACAGAGGGTTAGGAAAAAAGAGAATAATGCCTTGTTTGGTGAGTACAAATGCACTAAATAATCTTCATTTGAAAAGCAATTTTATAGGTTAGTAAGGTACTGTGCTTTAAATTGAAAATACTGTGCTTGAAAATGGTTTTAAGCATGAAGAAATATCTGCTATAATTCCAAAAATATATGAGCTAAATCCCTGAAATGTATTTATTTCAAACAGTCAGATAAAAAGTATTTATTTATAAAGAGAATAATAAGTAATGAATTATTACATAAAAAAATTTTTATTTTTTTATTTGATATACTGCTTTTCTGCTTAGCAAATGTAGTTAATATGAAATATTTGACAAAGAGAAAAAGTAGCCATTTTTGTTAAATATTGTGATCAATTATATATTTTGTAATTGTAATCGTAAAAGGTGTCAAAATTTGAGTCCTTTTACCGAAGTATGGCAGTATATTTGTGCAGCCTTTGCTGACTATAACAGAAATAGTCTAGCAAAATTTTCAAATATTTATTATTTACTAAGAGGCTGCAGACAGAAAGATTATTTTCAATTTTGTCGGGATTATACTGGGTGTCCTGAAAAAAGTGTGCAATATTCTACCAGCGGTTTCTAGAGCTTAAAATAGGAAGAAAAGTTTATATAAACATAGGTCGACAAACGTCCCCTAAGGGCGCTACGGTCTTTTAAACGGGCTCCCCTGAAGATGGTTTTTCCTTAATACAGCAGACACTCGATAACGTAAACACGGGATAATGAAAACTTGCGCTAATGTAAACACAAACTTAGTTCTATAGGATCAAACGGAACGCACGATAACGTAAACAATGTGTACGCTCGATAACGTAAACAACTCTCGGTGCAAGGAAACAGCGCGACGGTAAAATGCTGAAGCCTCGATGATTTATGTCGGGCGTCGGGGAGTCCCCGATTTATGATGTAGAGTGTAGGGGATTCACCTCTGCGATAAAATACGACAAACTCGGTCAGTCGTATGGTCGTTTAGGATACGTTTATACGTACGTATGTATTTCATTTTTGAACTTAAGTGAATACATTGCACGCGTTAATATATCTTACGACTATGGCATCCACATCCTATAAAAGAAAGTGTTTAAAGTTGAGTGAGAAAGTGAAAATCATAGACGAGGTTGCACACAGTTAGCAAAAAAATATGGAGTATCGAAAGCAACAATCTGTAAAATTAAGCGTATGAAAACTCAAATTTTACAAAGAACGTGCAATACATTTGGAGGTCCGGGAAAAAGAAAAACTTTAAAAAATGCGAAGGCACCTAAAATGGAAAATTCCCCGTATAAGTGGTTTTTAAAACAACGGAAAAATCATGTCCCAGTTAGTGGCGAAGTACTTAAACAGAGAGCGAGACTGTTAAATGAAAAACTGAAAATTTCGTAGCTAGTGATGGCTGGCTACAATGATTCAAAACAAGATATGGAATTCGACTGCTGTCTATATCTGGTGAAAAATTATCAGCACAACCACAACTAGTGCAACCATTCAAAGAAAAATTGATGAAAACAATTACCGAGCTAGATTTAAGAATGGAACAAATTTACAACGCAGATGAAAGTGGCCTTTATTGGAAAATGTTACCAGAGAAAACCTATGCTGCATCATTTGAAAAATCTGCCCCGGGAAGAAAGCCGGAGAAACAACGAATAACGTTTCTAGGCTGCACTAATGGTAATGGTTCACACAAAATAAAGCCACTGGTAATTGGGAAAGCAAAAAATCCGCGCTCATTTAAAAATGTTAATATCCCTGTTGATTATGACTGTTCAAAAACCGCTTGGATGACTAGCAGTATATTCCTGAAATGGTTCCACAGGTGCTTTGTCCCTCAGGTATGACAATCAATTATCACAAATGCTCTATGTAGGTAAAAGGTTTCCTAAAACAACAGAAGCTTCCAATAAAAGCGTTGTTACTATTGAATAATGCACCAAGTCATCCTCCCGAGCAACAACTGAGGAGCAGGGATGGGTCAATTTTCGTCATGTACTATACATGCCGCCCAACGTAACACCGTTAATTCAACCGATGGACCAGAATATAATAAGACTCACCAAACTATACTATAGGAAGTTTCGACTTTCGTCTGTCTTATCAAAGAATCCTGAAAACTTATCTGAGGCGTTAATAAAAGTAACGTTACGAGAAGCTGTTTTAGATTTACATATGGCCTGGAATGAAATTAACCAGCAAACTATTAAAAAATGTTGGAACAATCTCTTTTGTACCAATAATGAAGATGATGAAGAAGACGATGTCCCCTTAAGCGTAATTAGAGAACGTTTGCGATCCATTAATGATAATGTTATTAGTGTGTCATTGGATGTTGTTGATTTATTGAAAACAGTGAATCCCAACATTGTTTGTACTCCTGCTGATATTAATTTATGGAACGAAGATAAGCAGACGAATGATGCTGATAAGGAGGAGGATATGGACAGTGAGGATGATGAGAACGATCCCATTGAAGTCAGAAGTGTAGTGACTGACGCGCAAGCTATACAAGTTTTTAACCAAGCTTTAGATTGGGGTGAAAGAAAAGAAGTTTCATACACGGATATTTTAGTTCTTCGTAAATTACGGGCGCAGGCATTGGAAGACAATGCTAAGCGCAAATTTACGCAGACAAAAATTGTTAATTATTTTTCTTCTAATTAAAAAAATACTTATCGCTGTTAGAATATTTGTTTATTTTGTTATAAATAGTATGTATTAAACGTTTCTTTTAATAAATCAAATATTATATAAATCACGTTCGCTAATGTAAACATTTCGATAATGTGAACCACACTGGGATTAAATTAGTTTACATTATCGAGCGTCTGCTGTACCTAGTTTTTTAGTAAATTTTTGGAGTATAAAAGCCCCCAAATGTATACTAATAAAAAATGTGGTTCAACAAAGTTTTGTTTTGTGTACAAAATAAAAGGGATTCAGAAAATCGTGAAGGACTATCTATCAAAATAGTACAAGGATTCATCCCTTGAATTTGAGTGGTGTATAATTATGCAGAACTGAATATGTGGATAGAAATATTCTTAATGTTCATTGATAACTTTGATGAATCAGTTCAATGGTATGAATGGAATTCTGCTTATCTAGCAAAAGTTTTAGAAATAAAATTGCTTTGGATGTGTGACGCATGCTACTTTGTTTGATTGCAAAACAATTATTATAATTCAATACCCTGAGATGCTGATTTATCAAATATTGTTGTAAATTGTGCAAGTAGTATGTATATACAGGGGGATTCATAAATCAAAGGCAATATTTCTGGATCAGAAAGTATATCCAAGAATATGAAAAAATCGTAAAATGTCCCATTGTGGAAAATTTCTTTGCTGCAGATGAGTCAAGTTAAGGATGATTTTCAAATAAGGTGATGTAAAAACATACATACAATTTTCATTGCACATTTCACCAGCATCACTCATATTTTTTCTTGTATTGCCTTGAAGATATAATTTTTTCACGATTTTGAAATTATAGCTCCAATGCTCTGTATCTCAGACCCATGCTTATATGAACTTTTCTTGTTATTTTTGGACGTATTTTCTACCCTGCAAATATTGCCACTATTTTCCGAAAGTAATGTCCCCAATAAGATCTATGAAACTATTCCTTACCTTTGACCTATTCAAGTTTTCCACTATGAAGAAAATTCATTTCGTATTGCTTATTTGAACTGACACTGGATTATAATGTTGCTCAGCCAAAACATCACAGCAAAATAAATTTGAATATATTTAAATACAATTTGATTCAGTTACATGTGTTTTATTTTTTAGGTGTTGTTGGACAGAAGCTAAAACAGTATACAAAAGGATGGTGGAAGATATTCGTGGTATTTATATTTTGGCTGCTTCATTTGATCTCTGATATCTGTAGTCTAAGTCTGCACCTTATTAATGATATGTAAGTTGAAGATGATTGAATATTACTGATAAGTGTATTTGTGAAAATGTAACCTGATGCTTGACTAGATAAGGATAACTTTTGATTATTGCACATCCGATTTTTCAAAATTGGTTAAATAAGAAAACTTCCACAGTTCAGTGCTAACTTGACATCAGTTATAGGAACAAATAAGAAATAAATCAACAGCATTGGTCAGCTGAATCAAAAAAAACGTATCATAAAGAAATGTTTAATCACGCTTTTATCAGATTGAATCGATACATATTTTTATCAGTTTGGGAAATTGCTTAAAGAAATTTAAAAAAAAAAACTTCAGAATCTGTATGATCATCAGCTGTTTGTACCCAATAATACAAAGTCCTTGAAATTTCCATATGTTGAATTTCATTTTGCAAAGTTTGAATTAAATCAACTGCTGGTTCTCTAGATAATCTCTGTAAGAATTACATGAGTTCTTATAGGAAGTTTGTTATTTTATCGTATTATTCCAATTTTCATTGGAAACAAATTTTTGACATTATATAGGTTTTTTAATAATAATAACCCTACCGATAACGTAGGATCTTAAACGTCTCATATATTTGAAGCAAAAACAAATTTGTTTACAGTTTTCAGTGTGTCTAACTCTCGGGTGGTGAGAAAACAAGTTAAAAAATTTGCGTTCATGTAAAAATTTTCGCAGAATCTCTTTCAAACATTATTTACTAATATTTCTTTCAAGCTATGCAGCAGTCGTGTTACAAATACTCTTTCCCAACAGTATAGAAAACGTTCTATCACTTATTATTATACAATTGACATGGAAATCGTGTCCATGCTGGTAATTAATAATAAACAAGTTCCAGATAATCTCGTGAATAAAAGTTAATTTTACAAAATGCATTTGAAACATGAATGAAAAACATTATTATAGGAAATAAATACCTGAACATGAATAACAGTAAAATTGGCACAAAAAAATTACGACTCTATTTGCAAAAATAAACGTTACTGGTCAAGTACGACATAAAGATTATGATCAATAGTACTGGAGAAATAGTCAGTTTTGCATATGACACCGCAATAGTGTATAAAGATAAGGAACGGAACGACTTGAAAGATATTATCCAAAATAACTTTTTCCAAATTATCCAGTACTCTAATGACCAAAAATTAACAATAAACTTTACTAATGCACATTTTTACCATTTTCACCATCACCTACGAGGGCGCTCTGGTAAGTACTTAGCCCACGAAAGAAAAACGGAAATTCATTTCTCAAAATAGTCTCGTTCGAGCTCGTTACAATTAACCTAGCGATGGTTCAGCTTCTTCTGAAGGTCTACAAAGTAGGCACGCCAGTTCCACACGCGGTCAAAACAAAACTACGAGTCCTATTTAGCTGAAATTTTGACAGTAGCACGATAGTAAATTTCTCTTGCGATAGTGGCGCCCTTAGGCGGCGAGACTAAATACTTTTCGGACCGCCCTCGTATGTTTCTTACTACTTAGTGCATACCGCGCCACCCCGACTGATTAGAGAGGCGCCTCAATTTTACTATTTGTCAAGTCATCGTTGGTTGTCAGAGCGGTCCGTGGGACCTTAGCTCTTGAGTCACAGTGTCAGTTTGTAAGTCTGTCAGGTCTGGTAACCCTAGAAACCAGACAATTTTAAGGAAAAAAGGGAAGGAAAGGAGAGAAGGAAGAACGAGAGCAAAGGAGAAGAAGAGGATCTTTTAGGATAGGCAGCGTTTAAGCATTGTTAAAATCACTTCACAGATTTTGATATTGTCTAAAAATATTCGATTTTTTCTAAAGATTTTGTCAAAATGCTCCAATTTTGGTTGTTCTAAGTTATTATTATTATGATAATTGAGATGAGCAGAGTACACAGTACTATAAGCTCATGCAGTAAATATAGTGTACGGACACGTAACACAAATACATCAAATAGAAAAAAAAATAAAAAAAGACAGTTCATAGCTATAAAGTTTGTACACTCCTCCAGCTATCATACTGCACTTTGAAGCTATTAACTGAAGTAGCACCAACCACACTTTCAGGTAAACTATTCCAGGTGTTGAATATGCGGACTGTTGTTTTAATTGGCTCCTTATGCAGTTTGAAGCTGTGTCCGCGTAGATTGCTGCGCGACAGACGGTATAGATGCATGAGGTTGGTGCCCATCAAACCATGAAGTATCTTGAACGTAACTATAAGATCGCCACGAAGTCTTCGCTCAGAGAATGAGGTCAGGTTGAATAATTCAAGGCGATCTTCATAGCTTTGTCTTCGTGCTCCAAAAGGGATACGAATAGCCCTACGCTGTACTGATTCGACGAGATTTCTATCGCGCAGAAGCACAGTGTCCCATACCGGGCCAGCGAATTCAAGAATTGGCCTGACGAATGCCTTGTAAATGTAGGCGCAAGTGTTGACATCGGATCCTTTGAAAGACCTCTCCAGCATGTATAGAAGTTTCTTCGCTTTTGATGTAACGTGGTGAATATGCTCTGACCAGGAAAGACGATCGTTGACTACAACGCCCAGATCAGTGTGGCTGGAAACTGCTTCGATGTTGTGGTCAGAGATCTTGTATGTAAATCGCGGATTTGTCTTCCCGAGGTGAAGGACACAACACTTAGTTAGATTTAAGGGTAAAAGCCAACTGACTGACCATTGACAAACAATATCAAGATCTCGTTGAAGCATAGCAGAATTTACGACAGTATTGTAAATCTTGGTGTCGTCGGCATAAGCTGAACATGTGGAGGAAATCAATGCGGGCAGGTCACTTGTATACAGAAGGAACAGCACTGGCCCCAAGACAGAGCCTTGAGGAACTCCACTTGCTACATGATGAAGGTGAGACTGGCTATCACTGACGCGCACAGAGAAAGTCCTCCCGGTGAGAAAAGCCTTAATCCACAGTAACAACTCGCCTCTTATTCCCATACATTCCAACTTAAACAGAAGCCTTCTATGTGGTACGCGATCGAAAGCCCTAGAAAAATCTAAGTAGATTATATCAACAGGAGTCTTTGTGTCCGGATACTGAGTCCAATCGTTGAGAGAGTGGAGAAGGTTGGTCATTATTGATCGACCAGGGAGAAATCCATGCTGATTCTTAGGGATAAGGTCATTTTCGAAAGCAAATGACAGGAGCTTATCTAATATGATTCTTTCAGCTATTTTGGCGGCGATAGGAACGAGACTTATTGGTCGATAATTTTTAGCGGAGGATTTGTCGCCCTTTTTGAATACAGTGGTAACAGAATTAATTTTGATTACAGTGCGAGCAGCGGCCTTTTGTGCTTGCGAACTAGCTCGACTGTGTAGTCCACTGACTCACGCAACAGAGTGTTGCTGTGCGATTTCGCTAGGCTATAGCGCCGCTGCGCCTGTTGCTTAATGTAGTCCTTTAGCAATAGCAATAGTGCGCAAGTGCATATTTCGCATGTGTGTTTTAGCAATAAAACACCAAGCCGCACATGCGTAAGTCATTGCTGGTCTTATCGCCACCTTATAGAGTCGAATCTTGTTAATCAAACTTAATTTTGAACGTTTACGTAATAATGGGTAAAGCTGTCGAAACGTAATTTGGAATTTAGTTTTTAGTTTACTCTTTGTATTAAAGGGCAACTCACTCGTGGACATGGCTGATACACCAATGGACTCTGCTCGCCCAATCAATGCAAGTTATCATGAAAAGTTTTCGTATATTCGCATGGGTGCAAAGCAAGTTCGCTAGAGAGAAGAAGGAGGACGTGTCCAAGGAAAAGCCCAGCTTGCCACCGAACGGACTCCAACACAACATCTCCATGCCGACGACAGGAGATGAGGCTATGAAAAGACTTTTAGCTTGTAAAGGAAAAGATCCGTATAGTATATTAGGGGTTACACCCACGTGCAGCGACGACGATATCAAAAGGTAGGTTTGATGATGTTTGTCTACTTTAGTTACTGGCAAGGAATAGCAAAAACTAGCTGGGAATCCTACAGTAGATAAATTGGTAATCTATTATCCATTTATCTTGCTTATCAGGGCAAGAATGTCATGCTTTGGAATTGGTGAGACAAAAAATCGACATTTTGGAAAATAAAAATGGGTTCACGTCCGGAATTCTTAGTACTCGAGGGATCCATCATGTGTGGAAACATGCAGACATTTATATGACCTTGGAAAAAGCTTGAAACATGCTTGGCTATCGTTTGATCGGACGGACGAAAGTATCATGTTTATTTTAAAACCAAATATCATTATGAATGATCAATAAAGAGCTAAACACTAAATTCTGTTACAGGTACTATAAAAGGCAAGCCTTTCTGGTTCATCCCGATAAGAATAATCAACCAGGAGCGGAAGAGGCTTTCAAAATACTAGTTCATGCTTTTGATATGATTGGAGAACCTGGAAGGAGAGCAGCTTATGATAGAGGTAATGATTAATAATGAAAACTGTAAAAACAAAAAATGGTTTTGTGAATATGGTTCATAATAAGAAAAATCCGAGAGTAGCAGGGACTAGATTTCGCACTAAAAGAGTCTAATCATTTGAATACTATGTTATATTTACGCACCATGTTACTACAATTTATTGCAATATGCTATTGTGTAGTTTTTTTAAGTGTTTCACATTTCTACTGCATCGGAGCTTCTGAGAAAGCTTTAGCAGCTGAAGATTCTGTTATTTTCTCAGAAATAAAATTTAACATATATGTAGTGTATGTGTTTTATAATATGTCTTTTTTAATAGCTAGTTAACAGCTTCGTCAGGCCAGCTAACTGTAAGTACGAGTAGAATTGCTTTGTTTTGGGGTCGTCATTTTTGTATTTTTGGTTAATGATTGTCCATACAATATGAAAATATCTCTAACGTCAACAATCAACCTCAATGTGCTGATGTCTGCTTCTCTAAGCTCACAGACATGATCATATACTAAGTGACATATAAATCCGAACACCCAGTTTACATGGTTTTATTTTAATAAAATTTTGTATAGGTACTTAATGAAGCATAATAAGTAAATGATAAAAATTTCAAAATGATTGCACTGCTTTAAAGCCCTTTGACCTTTAATAATGTGTGGATGCACCCTGATGTGCTACGCATTCTTCAACGCGCCTAGGCATGCTTCTGATCAGGTGGTCAATGTCCTCCTGTGGTATCTCATTCCAGGCAACCACCAACTCCTCTCGAAGTGCTTCTAGAGTCTGAGGAGGATGTTGCAAATTGAGCAATCTCCTACCCATCATATCCTACACGTGCTCAATTGGGGATAAGTCGGGAGATCTTGGTGGCCATGGTAACAATGTGACATCATTATGTTGAAAGAAGTCTATTGTGACTCTTGCAACATGTGGTCGGGCATTATCTTGTTGGAAATTTGGATCTGCCAGGGTGTCAAGATAGGGTAAAAGATGGGGTTCTAGAACTTCGTGGATATAACGGTGCGCGTTCATGTTACCTCTGATGAAGATTAAAGGTGACCTGGAACCTTAAGCTATAGCACCCCAAACCATAACTCCAACAGTGTGATGAACATGTCTTTCAACAAAAAACTGTGGATTCCTCCTTTCACCACGTCGCCTTCTAACCCTGGCACGACCATCGTGCATGCCTAAACAAAATCGAGACTCGTCACTAAAGACAATACTCTTCCATTCTGCTGTCGTGTTTTGGCGGGCTCGTTAAATTCCTTGTTTGTAATTACCGAAAATGGTGTTTGTAAGGAAATAAAAATAAATAAATGAAATACACACATCATCAAAAGCGTTGGACCCCCTCTATAAATCCGTCTAGAGGTACGTTATCTACATTCTGTTTGTGAACAAAAAATCTTTATATATTTAGCAAGCAAAAAACCGTTGAGATAAACATGTGTTTGGATTCTTATAGAAATAAGTCAGTGTAGTATTATATATATATATATATATATATATATATATATACAGGGTTACAGGAAAAGTCGTGCTAGATCCGTTAAGGGCGTGTAGTACCCATCATTTCTGACTTATTTCATTATGAAACACCCTACCCTAAACTTAACCCTTTTCGAGATATTCAACTTTTAATGTTTTTATTGAAAATTGCCGATTTTTAGGCTACTAAATGTATTTATTTTTATTTTGTGTGTGTTATTATTACTATTATTGCATTTTAACATGTGCAATAAGATGCTTTAGGACGTCAATCATTAAAATAGTCCATAAGTTAATTGAATAGGCCGTAGTAGATAAGTGAATGTTAAGAAATTGAAAAAAATATCAGAAAGTTTATTTTTCTCGAAGGGATATCTAAAAAAATATTATGGCAATTGTTCGGCAGATGTGTTTTAAAATATCTATGTTTTATCAGCTATCTAACGAGGTATAACAATCTAGGATTTGTATTACATTTCGTAGAAAAAAAGTAGTTGGGACGCTCCAGTAGCAGTTCCCACGCCTATTCTCCTTCAAGTTTAGACGCACCGTGCGAGCGAGACATGACGATTTAATGTGGGTGCGAATGAAAGAAAACATATTATAATAACCGGTTAGGGCTGGAAATCCAACACGGGATGTTGTTTTGGTTGTCAGTCTGCTTTTGTGCTTCGTACATAGTAGATGTGATATCGTTTTGCTCTTTTCCTCGACTTGGCTACGATTCTGGACTGTTTCTTCTGATTTGTGAATACTGTGCTTGTTCACTGGACTCTGATTTGTACTTGTGATACGGAAGTGTTGAAGATGACGTCCTACACACCTGAGGAATATGCTGATATGCTTATTTGTTACGGATACTGCGATTGTGTATCTGCGCAAGCTCGCAACGAATACAGAACTCGCTTCCCCGGTCGTCGAGTGCCGGATGTGGCCGTTTTTAACAGAGTTTATCTAAGACTTCGAGAAACTGGCTCTGTTTTGAGACGAAATACAGACCTGGGAAGACCACGAATTTATGACAACGAAGAACTGCAGGACAATGAGATAGTGCAACGCTTTCGAGCGGATCCGACCATTTCCACTAATCGTGTTGCCCGTGATCTGGGACTTTCGCAATGGAGAGTGTGGTTTACAGTGCATACTGCTGGCCTATACCCGTACCATTACACGCCGGTACACACTATTGCAGAAGGAGACCCCGCGAGAAGGTTGGACTTCAGCAGATTTATGCTAAATGCTGACGTAGAAGACCCAGATTTTCTAAGAAATATCTTATGGACAGATGAATCCAAATTTGATAACGATGGCATAACTAACTATCACAACGCCCATTACTGGGCCCCAAAAGTACTAAGGAATCCCAATAAGAAAAGAGTGGCGAGGTCCCAACGAAGATTCAGCGTGAATGTGTGGATGGGCATTATCTCCAACCATTTGATTGGACCTTACTTTCTCCCGGACAATCTAAATGGGGAAAATTACGAAAACTTCTTGAGAGGAGACTTCAGAGATTTGCTGGATGATCTGCCACTCAACTTGAGAAGGGACATGTGGTTCCAACATGATGGCTGCCCTGCCCATTTCAGGAGAAGTGTCAGAGACTGGCTGGACACAAATTATCCAAACAAATGGATAGGACGAGGTGGGCCGTTGCCATGGCCAGCAAGAAATCCGGACCTAACCCCCATGGATTTTCATGTGTGGGGGTGCATGAAAAGTCTTGTCTACAGCGAGCCAAATCCAGTTTCGTCTGTGGAAGAATTAAGAGAAAGGATTGTCGATGCAGCAAATCAACTAAGGACAACGTTGACCACTGCAGTTGTAAAGACTGGTCTCCGTAGAAGGATGCGACAATGTATTAGAAACAGAGGCAGCCATGTTGAACATGAACTGTAGAGTAAGAAAAAGTTGTGTGAAAACCCGATTTAATAAATGATATTTCATGCTTACCTATTGTTTTATTTTACTTTTTAGGGCTAAGTATCAATTTTCTTCTCCACTGTCGCCTATGAAACTAAGTTTTTTCAATGCATTTAAATAAAATCCTAGATTGTTATACCTCGTTAGATAGCTGATAAAACATAGATATTTTAAAACACATCTGCCGAACAATTGCCATAATATTTTTTTTAGATATCCCTTAGAGAAAAATAAACTTTCTGATATTTTTTTCAATTTCTTAACATTCACTTATCTACTACAGCCTATTCAATTAACTTATGGACTATTTTAATGATTGACGTCCTAAAGCATCTTATTACACATGTTAAAATGCAATAATAGTAATAATAACACTCACAAAATAAAAATAAATACATTTAGTAGCCTAAAAATCGGCAATTTTCAATAAAAACATTAAAAGTTGAATATCTCGAAAAGGGTTAAGTTTAGGGTAGGGTGTTTCATAATGAAATAAGTCAGAAATGATGGGTACTACACGCCCTTAACGGATCTAGCACGACTTTTCCTGTAACCCTGTATATATAGGTGAAAAATTAAAGCTTCCGCCTTTTGTTGGGTACTTTGACAAAATTTAAGCAAAGAGGACTCTTTGTACTTTTTTTAATTTTCTCTAGCTTTCAATGGACTTTGCCATCATCATCAGGAGCTGCAATTACAATGATAACAGTAGCAACAATATTGTACTGTTATCATTGTAATTGCAGCTCCTGATGATGATGGCAAAGTCCATTGAAAGCTAGAGAGAATTAAAAAAAGTATAAAGAGTCCTCTTTGCTTAAATTTTGTCGAAGTACCCAACAAAAAGCGGAAGCTTTAATTTTTCACCTAACTGGTCTAGACGACAATGACCACGTCTCAAAAAAAATAATATATATATATAGTATATTCAGTATTTGAGCAAAAAGTATTAAAATAAAATTTTATACTGTAACTTTTGAAATGCCGCGAGCTGAAATTTCTGGTTTTGATAGAACACGAATAGTAGCCCTCTTCCAAGCTGGATTTTCAAATCACCGAATAGCACTGGATTTAGGTATCCCAAGAAGTTCGGTTATTTGAACAATTCAAGGATTCCAAGAAACTGGTTCAGTTGAAAATCGGCCACGCAGTGGGCGTCCTCGAGTAACAGATGATAGGGAGAATCGTTACATTGCTCTATTTTCCCGAAGGAATAGATTTTCAACAAGTACAGCTATCAGATCGCATATTCAACATACCTTTATAAGAGTTATTTCCACTTCTACTATCAGAAGATTGCGAATGGAAATTTTGCGCTCTAGAATACCTTTAAGGGTTCCACGTCTTACTCGTAGACAAATTGCTGCTCGTCTCCAGAGGGCTAGAGAACATCAGGAGTGGCTTTTACCACAGTGGCGAAATGTGGTATTTACAGATGAGGTTAGGTTTGAACTGGTGAGTGATAACCGTAGAATTAGGGTTTGGAGAGAACCAGGACATCAACAGCGACTAAATTTGGCCCGAGAAATTGTCCCATATCAGGGAGGATCAATAATGTTTTGGGGAGGCATAATGTTTAACCACCGGAGTCCTTTAATTCAGATCCAGGGGACAATGACCGCAGAAATGTATGAAGAAAATGTCATAAAACCCGTTATTCAACCTTTGCGAAATGAGTTCGGTAACAACTTCATTTTTATGGATGATAATGCAAGGCCACTTAGAGCGAGAAGGGTCCAACGGGCTCTAGAAAGGGGCCAAATAGTGAGATTGCCGTGGCCTGCGAACATCTCAGGCATGAACCCCATTGAAAACATTTGGGACACCATAGCTCGAGCCGTACGGAACAGAATAGATCCACCTACAACCCTAAATGAGCTGCAGCAGTAAATGAAGAGTGGAATAATTTACTCCAAGAAAACATTAACCACCGAATAATAGGAATACCAAGGCGTGTTAACGCACTGCTAAGATCTAGAGGACACCGAACTGGTTATTAATTATGTTTTATTTTTCTTTAATTTTGATTTACCTTACTGGTTCAACTTTCGTTTTCTCTTCATATCAATGAAATTGATTTAACGTTTTGTTAAATAAATATAGTAAACATATCCCCAATTTAAAATATATCAAAGATTGAAATTAGAAGGCTATAGTTTCCCAGTACGCCAGGAGGTCCAACACTTTTGATGATGCGTGTAGTATTTGAACAGTAAAATCGGGGTTTTCGTCATGTTTGAATTTCAGGCGTGGTGGAGTCAGCTCAAGTGGTGCAAGCTTGGAGCGAGCTGACGGAGCTGCTGCAAAAGCTGCAAGCGAAAGTGGAGGCTGCCGCTAACACGATCCGGTGCAGTTCGTGCGGTTTGCGGCACAGGCGGGTCAAGGTGGACAGGCCCAGTTATGCGGCGAGGAACTGCGCCACATGCAAGATCCACCATTCGGCTAGGGAAGGAGACATATGGGCGGAGGCCAGGGTGAGTATTTTTTGTAGCCACTCTTGCAAAAAAGCTTTATGGACATATGACCCTTTACCGCCCGAAGTGTGACGCTTTTCGAAAATACGGCGTACCTATGAAGAGTACTGGAAATGAATATGTGGCAGTGTTGCCAAGTCAAAAAAATAAAATTCACCAGAAATTGGAATGAAAAATCACCAGGAATTTTTTGAGCGGTATTACTAGTTGTAAACGAACTAATGCATTTGCAATGTTTGTGTACAACTTGTTTAATAAAATACAATTCACTATAATTTTCCTTCTACTGTGGCGAAGGCAGTAAAGTATTGTTTTATTAGCTGAGCTTACCTAAGATACAATTGAATATACAGGGTGTGAACGTTGTGATAGTCATTATTTAAATGGGTGATAGTGGGGTTAAAAGAAGCGGCATTTTTTTAGAGAAAAGCTACTTTAAAGTAAAATAAAACCTGACAACGCCGCAATGCCAGACGCAAATTACGACGGAACGCAGTGTAAATAAAGATGGAGTTTGTTATTTTTGGCTCTTAGGTATTATTTCATTATTTGATAAAAATGCAAACAATTAAAAAAAACGGACTTACCACTAACTCTCTCAGCGCGCCACCTGGTGTGTGAAAATTTATTGAACGTATTAAAAAAATCCACTTATAAATAGGGAAACACAATTTTGATACATACATTGTTTTTCTTTTTAAAACCCACACTGCACTTTTTTGTATTTAAAAAAGGTGTTCAAAATGTCGTCCTCCATTTTTAACACAAGCTTCATTGCGACGAACCCAGTTTCTTGTTACTCTAGGTCCTCGAAGTTGTCCATTTATTATTTCAGCCGCATTAAATTTTTTTTCGCGAAGTTGTGCTTCAGTTGTTATTGGACTAGCCCCATAAACCATCCTTTTAAGTTCTCCCCAATACCAGAAATCGATCGGGTTGAGGTCAGGAGATCTTGCTGGCCATTTTCGAGGATCAGGGGCATTTCGACTGATCCAGCGATTTGGATAATGTTCATTCAATTACTCAATGATGCGTAAATGTGTGGAGGTGTCCCGTCATGAAGAAACCACAAATTATGTCTCGGTTGTAATGGCATGTTGTCTAAGGTCTGTTGCAAAAGTTCTGGTAGGTTATTGGCTAGAAAGCTAAGGTATCCTTCTTCTGATAACTTTGGGAGTAACTCGAAAGGGCCAATTACCTGATCGTCAAAAATACCCGCCCAAATATTTATTTTAAAACGTTGTTGGAAATGACCTTCACTAATGGTATGAGGATTTTCTTGGGCCAACGTGTGAGTATTATGGAAATCTAACATCCCATCCCGCGTAAAAGTACATTCGTCCGTCGCTAGAATGTTTTTAAAAAAATCCGGATTTTCAATGTTGTTGTGCAAAAACCACTGACAGAATGTTAGTCTGTGAGGATAGTCTTCTGATAACAAGGCTTGCACTCGTTGTACATGTTAGGGATAAAGCAAATTTTCCCGTAGGATTCTATGGACTATGGTATGCGATAGTCCTAAGCGGCGGCCTAATTCCCGAGTGCTGATATCTGCATTGATTTCCACGATATTTAAAATTTGTTCCTCCTGCTCTACAGTCTTTCACGAGTGCGAATATTAGTGGGCTGAACACTTCCTGTTTCTCGAAGTCATTGGTACACTTGCACAAATGTCCTTCTGTGTGGCTGTACCCGTTGGCGAAATCTGTCGCGATAAGTTTGAGCTGCAGGATTTGAATTCTGACGAGCTTCACCGTAAACTAACGACATGTCGGCGAACTCTTGATTCGAGAACATTATAAATCAAACTAACAATGACGTACCCGAACAAAAACAAAACACGCCCGATAAGAGTGATGACGACGCGCTGTTGTCAGGTGTGTTTTAAATATTAAATTTAATGAAACTTACTTACTTACTGACTACAAATTTTGGCTTAACTTGAAAAACTTAATGCCACTTATTTGTTAATTACCCATTTCCATAATGACTACCATAACGTTTACACCCTGTATTTTTCCTGTTGTTTTTTGTATGATTTTGAACTACTTTTTAATTCCCAGATCAGAATTATTATAAAAAAATCCTATATTTTTTCACCAAAACAAATTTTTATTTTCCAATGTCATGATTATAATACATAATACTTCTGTAAAGTAGTGTAAGTAAATTGATAAGCATCTAATATACAAGTTGAGTGATTTATTTTAACTGCTTGAAGGACCCGTCAAAAGGCGTTGATATACCACAAGTCCCTACATAAAAGTTGCATAATAAAAGAAATAGTAGAAGATTGAAAATTTAATAAGATAATTTTATTACACAGATTTTTTGATATTCTCGACCACTGCCGTGTAATATCTTAGCGTTTTTCGCTTACTACTCTTAATCGTTTATCTAAATTTGGCAAACTTTTTGTGTTATTGTATGATTTTCAGTACGAGTCTTTGGTTGTATCATTCTTTTAGTAGTGCGTACTTTCATTCGTCTGATTATTTTGTGCGAAAAGGTGGCCCATGTTTACGAAAACAATGAACTAGTGGACATAATACTAACATACGAAGAGTGCCAACAAATTGCAGCCGCAGCATACGGAAAGGTTTCCTTTAAGACAATATTTTAAGTGCCTTAGATAAGAAAATGGAACTAGCCTTGATCTCTATAGACTATTCGAAAGCCTTTGACAGCATCAATCATAAATTATTACTTGCGAAATTAAATTACATAGGTCTTGTCAGTGTATCCCTTTCATTTTTCGACAGTTACCTTCATCAAAGAACTCAGAGTGTTTTTCTCAATCAAGAAATGTCTCAAGTGACAATAATTCCCTCAGGCGTACCTCAGGGCTCTGTATTGGGACCGCTTCTGTTCCTCATTATACGTTCGACTTAAGCAAAAGTATTGATAATTCTCATGTCCAGTCATTTGCAGACGATACGCAATTGCTTCATTATTTTAACCCAGATAATGTCAATAATACTACACAAATTTTACTAAACGATGTTAATAAATTAATTAAATACTCTTTAGATCACAATCTACTTATTAATCCACAAAAATCTAAAATGTTATTATTTTGCGCACAAAGAAAAACATACAATGTAACACAGCTCTTGAATATTCAGATAAATAACCAAATCTTGCAATTTTCTGATTATGCAAAAACTCTTGGTGTTGTTTTTGATACAAAATTAAGGTTTATTGAACATGTTAAAAGTCTATCTCAGAAAACCTACCTACGGCTGCGCACTCTTATAGCAAACAGGTATTTACTAAATTTTAAGATGCGTAAAAAACTATGTGAAGCATTGGTCATATCTATACTAAATTATTGTGATATCGTATACTATACTTGTTTAGACAATTTCACTAAAAACGTTATTCAAGTTATTCAAAACAATTGTATACGATTCATTTTTGGCTTACGTAAATTTGATCATGTATCGGCGAAATATCCCGTTCTAAACTGGTTAAAAATTAATGACATGGTCAAGTATCACTATTCAGTTTTTGTTCACAAATTGCTGCTCACGTCTGAACCTTATTACTTGAAGGAAAAAATTTCATTTAATAATGATGTTCACTGTAGAACTCTCAGAGAAAATAATATTAGAATACCCCTGCATACGTCTACACTTTTTAAACGCAGTTTTTCTTACAATGTTGCTATTATTTATAATGACCTTCCTAAAGTATATAAAGAATTTTCATTACCTGTCTTTCGACAAAAAGTTAAAACATTATTACTCAACGCTCCAAACATATAATTTACGTAATCATTCATTTCTTTTTTATTCCATCTTTAATTCAGATTAATAATTTTTGGTCCATTTGGGTTTGGAAAGTATGCCTTTTTCTCTTTTTTTTTAAATTTTACTGTCGATGTAATGGACCAAATCTGTTTGTGGATAGTGTATTATTTTGAACATCTGCTAGCGACTATATGGTTAAGTGTAAGAGTAGCAGCATGCTAAACTTCGCCATATAAGTCTGACATTTGGCTATACTACAATGTAATTGTGGATAAATAAAGACGTCTATTATTATTATTATTATCGAGCCCCACGGATGTTTGTAAATTTAGTTATTAGACTTCATGACACATGATATTTGAAAGAACAACTAGGAGGTCACGCTGAAAGACCTGCCATTCTTGGCCTGCTCGCTCTCCGGATTTAACGCCCTGCGTTTTTTTGAAAGAGTTGGTGTGTCATGATAGAGCAGTAATTACTCTGGAAGAACTTCAACATCCCACTGAAGATGCTTGTGACTTAATTCATGGACACCAGGATTTTATTTTCGTAGCTTGCAAAGAGTCGTTGATACGCCGAGCAAGATGTTGCGTTAATCGAACAAATGGGGGCAATTTTGAACATTTTTTGTAAAAACGGTATCCGGTAACTTTAATGATTTTTTAAAATAATTTTTAATAATGTGACAAATAGGCGCGAAGACAATTATCGCAACAAGAATGCCTTGCTGAGTTACTGTCTGTTTTCGGTAACGAAGCGCCACATCAGTCGACAATTTCCCGTTGGTATGGAGAATTCAAACGTGGACGGGTGAGTCTTAGCGACGATTCCAGGGTGGGTGCACCAAAAACGGCAGTCACCCAGGAAAACGTCGATGCTGTGCGCAAACTCATCATTGAAGATAGACATGTGACATATCGCGCGATTGAGGCGTCCTTGAAGATCTCAAAGACCTCAAATCAAAAAATTTTACATGAAGAATTAGGAGTAAGAAAATTAGTTTTGGATCTGCCTGGAATTTTGGTGAGAATATGGAAAAAATATATGACAACATAATAGGAAATATAAAAACTTGTTTAGATCTTGCAACTGATAAAAAAGTGATTTGCTCGACAAAAAATACACCCTGGTATAACAAGAATATTAAGGCAGCTCAAAATTTGAGAGACAAACAATACAATAAATGTATATTCACAAAATCAAATGATGATTGGGAGGTATATAAAACTCTTAGGAATAAATGTGTAT